CCCCAAAACCCCAAAACCCCAAAACCCCAAAACCCCTTGGCCATTACCACATATTGAATTTCTACAGGCGTCACCAGTAATGTCTCAAGAAGAAGACCAAAATTCCGATAACTACGCTCAAAATCACTCAGAAACAAAGCCTGCTTCTAAAAGTAGCTCAGCTACTGAGCAGCTAGCCATGCACAAGACTGGCATAGAGTACGGATTCCAAGGAGCAGCCAGGCCAAGGGGCACCAGGCGGAAGACCAAGAAGATCAATTACAAAGAAGAAAACTCAAGTGGAGACGAAGAGCCTTCCCAAGATTTCAGCGAGAAATACAGTGACTTTGAGCCATCAGTCGAAGAAAAAGAGCCTAAACCGGCTTCTTTCAGAGGGAAATGAGGCAATAAGCGAGGAAGGCCTAGAAAAAACCGAGTTCAAGAAGAAGAAGCTCATCCTAGGCAGAGGAAAAGGCAGAAGAGAGCTGAAAAAATTCAGAAAAAGACCATGAAGAGGGACGCGGTTGACTACATCCTAGATTTTCACAACTCTTTGTGATTTGAATGAAAGGAAGAAGGAGAGCTGATTCTGTGCGAAAAATGTCCAAGAGCCTACCATGAAGGCTGTGTTACAGGGGAACTCAATGATAGCGATATTTGGGCCTGTGATTGGTGCAAAGGGTGTAAGCCGAAGTTTTGAGAGATATGATATGAACCTTGAAATAGCACTCCAGAGACACCTAATTTAATCGAATGTGCTCTGTGTAACTCTCTTAGTCATCTCGAATGTAGAAATATACCTTTAAAATTGCTGTTAAGTGCTCCATTCTATTATGGTATTTCAGAAGATATCAAGATGTATGTCTTAGAGAAATACTCACAAAAGGAGCCCTCCCCAACAAAGAATTTATACAATATATGAAATTACTGACTTGAATCAAAAGGAATAGATTTGTTTATTGATTTCATTGAGGAAGATAAGGTGGAATACCTCTTCACAGACAAAAAGCCTGATAAGCCTGCTGACACTCCAAAAGCTAGTGTCTCACAGATAACTCAGGGTAGCCAAGATTGCTCTCAGATTACAACTTCAACAACATTCTTTGATACAAAAAGATATTTTCTAGTTAAATTGAAGGACACACCTTACCTCTACGCTACCTGGCTCGATGTAGAAGCCTGAGAGGCTCATAGTAAGATTAAACTCTCCAACTTCCTAAACAAAAAGTACGAAGAGGCTTATGAAAATGAGCTGCTCGAAGATTCTGAAGATCAGGATTGATACTACGGCATCTACAAGCCTTATCTTGAGCCTGAGAGGATCATCGATCAGAGTAAATATTACACAAAGATCGTCAAATATCTTGTAAAATGGAAAGAATTAGACTATAATGCTTGCAGCTGGATAGATAAAAATTTTATGAAGCAACGTTACCCATTATTAATCCATGAATTTGGAAAGATAAAGCAGCAAGAAAAAGATCTACTTCGAGACAGATTTCTCATTTCAGAAGCCCATCGAACTTGTGAAGATGGTAGAGAGAACGACTTTTATGAATACAAAGAGCAGCCGAGCTATATCACACAAGGAAAGTTGTATGATTACCAACTCAAAGGCCTCAATTGGCTTGCTTACTCATGGCACCAGTCAAACAATGTGATCCTAGCAGATGAAATGGGATTAGGAAAGACAGTCCAAACTGCATGTTTTCTTAACTATTTAATGACTGTGCACCAAATCACAAAGCCATTCCTAATCTGAGTTCCACTGTCAACCCTTCACAATTGGAGAAGAGAGCTGAAATTATGGCTACCTCAGGCATATGTAGTAGTCCTTCATGGAAGTAAAAAGTCCAAGGAAATTATTTATGAGAAAGAGTTCTCATACAAAAACCATAGACTCAGCTCTCTCTGAAAGTTTAACGTCTTATTAGCCACTTACGAAGTAGTCATGAACGAGCAGAGGATCCTCTCTAAGATAGACTGGAGAGTTCTCATCATTGATGAAGGCCAGAGACTTAAGAATATTAACTCTAAGTTTTATGAGAAAGCAGCCAATCTCTCTACAGAATTTCGGATCCTCCTCTCTGGAACACCTTTACAAAACAACTTTGATGAATTACTTAACTTATGAACATTCATTTCTCCAGAAGAGTTCAGTAGCAAGTTTAAGGATGAACTAAGGGAGATCTTCAACCACTCATTGCTAGCCAAGAAAGATACAACTCTTAAAGCCAAAGGCAAAGACATAAAGTTCAATGAAGATGATGTTCAGAAGGAAACCCTTCTTGTGAACACTCTTCACACACATCTTGGCAAGCATTTACTTCGAAGACGGAAGAAAGATGTCCTGAAGAACCTTCCTAGGAAGAAAGAAGTCCTCATCCATTCATATTTGACCAAAAGGCAAAGACAAATTTATAAACTGATCTTCATGAAAAATTATGAAGGACTACAAGTTTTGGAAAAGAGTTCCAAGAAAAACACCAAAGTTAGTCTACGTAGCTCCACTAATATCTTGACATATCTCAGATTGTGCTGAAATCATCCTTTCTTATTGTCTTCAAGATACAACCCCTCCCTTCGAGCTGAGAATGATCTGACCGAAGAGTCCAAGAATGGGCAGAAAATTGAGGATGACATTGTAAAATCTTCTGGAAAGATGAAAGTTATACACAGGATGCTACCTAAACTCCTTCAAAAAGGACACAAAATCCTAATGTTTTCTCAATTCAAGCTGATGCTTAATATCATCAGTGATTATCTAAACAGCCAGGACCTGAAATTTCTTCGATTAGATGGAGATACTAAGTCATCAATGAGGCAAAGAATCATAGATACTTTCAATAAGGATGACAGTCCTTACAAGATATTCTTATTATCAACAAGAGCTGGAGGTCTAGGTATCAATCTCCAGAGTGCAGATACTATCTTCATCATTGACAGTGACTTCAACCCACACAATGACCTCCAAGCACTATCTCGAGCTCATAGGATAGGACAGAAGAATGATATTTTGATTTTTAGGCTAATTTCAAAATCAACATGTGAAGAAAAGCTCATAGAAACAGCACAGCATAAGCTCCTACTCGGTGGTCTGTATGTCCAACGAGATAAACGGACTCAAAACCTCGATACGGCTAGCTCAAAATCCACCTCAATAGAAGCCAAAGAAATGAACCAGGTCCTCAAGTTTGGTGCCAACAGCATATTCAGCAGTGAAGAGGATGATTCCTACAATGACAAGGATCTTACTGAAGAAGAAATCAATAATCTACTAGACAGAGAGAAACACTTTCAAGAGGATGACAAAGATAGCGAACAAACTGGGATTGAAGACTATTTTAACGCATTCAAAGTTGCCCAGATCCAAAACAAAGTTGAAGGGACTAAGCATTCAAAGGATCCCAAAACTGACCAGTCCTGGGATGACCTCCTTGGCAAGCAAGTCGTCGATCAAAAGCAGAAAGAGCTTGAAAATATGGGTAAAGGAAAACGAAAACGTAACGTAGTAACTTATAATGAAAACCGAAAAAAGAAAGAAGATCCCAGCACTGAAGAGTACTCTTCTGATGAGAATGAATACCAGCAGACTCAAAGTGATGAGGCCAAGATTGAGGATAAAGTGGAGGAAAACCAAATTACCCCTCAAGAAGAATCAAAGATTGATGATACGGTTGCTGTCGAGCAAAAACCTCCCCTAGAGGTTCCTCCTGCTGATTCGGAGCACATGCTAATAAAGCTCAAGAATATTTGAAACTTAAAGAAATTAGCTCACCCAGGTTACACAGAAGAAGAGATATTAGAAATATGAAAAAAAATTCCCTGCTTTAGCAGATATGGATCGAACAAGATTTATTTTACACATAAAACACCAATACATAATATCTAAAAAAATCAAAACCGAAATGTATTGAGGTAAAGAGAGCGGCCTCTCTCAGACCTTTCTCCGAAGTACCTGAAGTCAATGAAGTTTTACCCCAGAACTACACACCGATTAGCCTGCATATAGTAAAGAGATATACAAACGATAAGAATATTCTAAACGCCATTAAAATCCACAACTCGATGGGTGACTATGATCTTGACCTCATAGTGATTTCAAACTTTAATAACTATGAGAGGAAGCAATTCATGAAGTTCTTACTATGCTTCGGAGTGGATGTAAATGACCCAGACTATCTGTACAAGAAGATATCCTCTTCAGCCCATCATCAAAATACATTGAGGTATAAACGTCAGTTTGACTTTTACGAGTACACGTCCTTCATTTGTACTTTGATAGTGACCCTAACTCTCGACCCAGACATAGATAAGCCTTGTTTTCTACTAAACTGGATGAGTCCTTCAAGTCTCCTAGAGCATTTCAAGAATCTGTACCTTCTGAGGGCTACTTTTGAGACTTTCCAGGAAGAGCCCAGTAACTTCATCCTTCCTGATCAGGAGTACTACACAAGTTTTACTAAGAAATGGAACCCGTACGATGACTTCTTGCTTCTGACCTTTGTGTTTGAGTACGGGTACGGGAATTATTCTAAAATAGCTGCTTCTCCAAGATGGATCCTCTCCAGCACCTCTGAACAGATTTGGAACCTAACCAGTAATGGAAGCTTGATTCAGCAAAAATGGGTACAAGAGAAAGAGCTGGTGTCTAGCCAACACTTGCTTGCAAATAAGACTGGCTTATCTGTAGATAGAGTTCAAGAATTCTTGGAGCAAAGAGTCCAGTTCATCCTAAAAGTCCTGAAGAGGCTGTAAATTTTTAGGAATTCAAGCATATAATTTTGATTAAAAGTTTGGTGAAAAATTTGAATCTTCCTAAAATATGAGATGGTCTGGAGAATTTTAGGTACCAATATAGTATTCAGACAACTAAATTTAGCATTTCTAGTGGATTATTCACTCAACACTTCAAAATCGATGCCCTTGTTGAAACCTTTCACCTTTGTTTCCTTTTGAATAGCATTTTAAAGTAAGACTGCTGTATTTCAGTAAGACTCAGCACATAAATACTGAAACTATGGAAGCAAGCTCTTGGAATAATCTAGTAATACAAATTCCTTTCACAAATCGATTTTATCAGATTTGTGAAATAAAGACTCAGATTTGTTTGTAAATAAAGCAAAGTCCTGCGACAGATCATGCATATCTTTGCAAGTCGGATGCCTACCTTTGATACTGTTGGGGTGCTTAGTCATCAAATTCCCGCACATTTTAGAAGTATCGCTTGCCATGTTGTTGATGTTCTCTTGTCCCTTCTTGGCAGTTTTGGCTTCGTGTCTCTAGGCATTTAGCAAGAAGACTTACGGCTGATTTTGGTTTGAAGTAGAATCTGAGGCCTATTCGTCTCTGCTTTCTTGACATATTTGTTTAAACATGAGTATCAGTTTCTTAAGTATTTAATGTTTAACTGATTTCCATTTTATTAGTTCTCATAGGGGTTTTGGGGTTTTGGGGTTTTGGGGG